AGGACATTAAGGTCTGACCTTGAAAATTTAGTGAAAGTAATGACTGAGAAAGAAGAGTTGAGATCTTATTTTTGTTTGTAACCTGAAAAAAGTCAGGGGTGATGTAAACCGAAAAAAACCTGTAGTTTTCAAAGCAAAAATTTTCGAGCAGTGTCTTCACTATTCCAAAATAGTCACTATATTAATATGTTTGTGGAATTGTACAGCTGCCTATCACATTGTCATCCTGTTAAAAGCATCTTGCGGACTTACAGACATAATTGCCTAGATTCCAGTGCTGACAGAGTGAGGTCATGGCTATCAAGCTGTACATTCCACGCAAGAGCGAGGTTTCCGTTCCTTGTTTTTGTTGGTGATAGTAGCTCCTTGCCATCTAGTAAGGACCCTTGTCTGTCCTGATATTCCAGACAGCTTACCTCATCCAAAGCACAAGCGTGCAAATCCTTTGAGTCGCCAAGTCTCCTGTAACACAGGAAGCGAACGTCCAGAAGACAGAACTGGGAAAGGAGAGATCTTTCAGTGCATATGCAAGGTCATTTCTTGCACAGTGATGAACGTGCAGAACTCTTGACAAGGTTAATGGGAAATATTCAACTCTCTTCTGCAGCAGGCTCACCCTAATACAAGACCGTGCCTGCCCCTAGCCCGTTTGGTATTTTGGGGACATCTCTCATGCCAAGAACACCATTGATTCCCTAGAAGTCCAGTTGTCCATTCAACAGCAGCCACAGTTACCAAAAAGGCAAACACATTATGGCAAGAAAAAACAACTTAGAGCAAATTTAGCAGGACAAAGTATACAGAATGTGGAACAAACTGAGATTACAGAAACGATCACAAAGAAACAATTGGAAAGCACTGCTATAAGATCCCTTGTAGAGATGCTACTGAAGATCCATATCGATCATTTTTGGGACCACAGCTCTTAGTGGAAATAAAAAGCCTAATGAAAAGCAACGTTTTTTGACTAGTCTCCAACAGAAAAGGCCTACGATACTCTTCTGAAGCCATGGTCAGATAACCTTGAATCCTAAAATACATACTAGAGTTGGGGAATGCGTTTCTATGCTATAATTATATCTTTTTCAGTTAGTTTTATTAGGTTTCTGTAACGTCTAATAATCCAGAATGCATCAGAACCAAGCAACTCTTTCTGGTTTAGTCAGAGCTCAGATTAAATCAGTTGTGAACAAAACAAGTTAAAAATAGAAGGAAAAAATTTAGACATCAAGACATCCCTAAAAGAAGACCTGACAAAGAGCAAGACATACAAATGACATAATCAAACCTTCATTATTGGAGATCATCAAAAACACCTTTGACAGATCTCTGGCAAGGACGCTGTAATAAAAAATGCTTGCAGGGAAAGGGAAAGGCCTAGAGGAACTCAGTAATATTTTCCAGCTCTAACCATCAGCGAATGAATCCATTCAGCCCTCACATTCCCCTGACTACCCATATCTGTATATGGCTGTTCTTCCAGACAAGAAACACTGTTCAGAGGAGCCAGTCCTCCCCAAATTAACTCAGACATGCAGTATATTCTTTGCAAGACACCATTAAGAAACATTATCAAGGTCTGGAAGTGGATTTTTATTTCATGGGCATCCAATCACAAACCATTACAAACACAAAAATCTCCACTTCTCCCTTTCCAAATACACAGATACAACTCTGCCATTTTGGCCAACCGCAGAATATCAAAAGCCAAGTTCCTTAATAAAGCTACCAATGTGTGAGATTAAGACAGAGGCGATGCTCTACTGGTCAAACACCTTTAAAGCGTGATCAAAAATTCTCAAGAGTTAAAGCTAACAATAGCGAAAATTTTACAAGCAAGCAATTACAAACTGAGAGCAAAAAGTACGTTTCTCCACAGCAGAATGACACAGCAGCAGAATAACTCCTCAGTTGGCCACATCTCCGTGGAGCAGCGTTAAACTTGAATCACGATACTTCAGTACCCCCGGAGAAAATTCAACGCTATTCATCCCTTATAGTAACACTAACTTGACCCATATCTTCTGTAAATCACTCTTGTTCTGTATACAGCAAATTTACGTGTTTCTGTTTTTCCCATGAGTGCTACAGGGAACATTTATCTCCTCAGTGTCTCCAAAGACCGAGTAGTTTTTGAAAACTTCTATCCCAAAGTCAAAAGCAAAGTATGGATCCTTTGACCTCTTCGGGTACACCTGGCAGTACTGAACAGGGATGGTGCGCCGACTAAAGTCTCTTACTGCATGAAAATCACTGGTAGTCTTAATCCAAGAACTAGAAGATACACATTTCTGAAACCAAAAATACAACCGACACTGCTTTGTCCCCTTGTTGGCAATTTCACCAGAGATGCCAGCGAACAACCATGAGGAAAAAAATATCGTTTTAAGGAAGCAGTCTCCTAGACGCTTATCTGTTCAGGTCATATTTGAGGCACAATGGCAGAATAATGGAGTTAAAAGACAGCGTATAAGGCGAAATCCAATCCAGCCTAATTACCATAAGAAATTTCATATGCTAAGTCTCACCTAACCTGTCTTTCAGAAGATCTCAAAAATAATCTCAAAAATATGGTTGTATATCGCCGCCTACCTCCAAAACCCCGCCACTATGTCTGCGCGTGCAAGCGCTGTGACGACTTCTCCGAGGTATTCTGCGCGCCCAGCGTCAGAATCTGAATTTGTGTGTCACTGCTTCCAGTCACCTCTATGTAACAACGTGCGTGGCCTCAGAATTTCGCGCCTTCGGTGGAAGCATTTTTCCAAACTTGGCATATCGTGAATATACCATGCGACGATCAGAATTTGTAAGAAACTGTTAATGATAATCAAAACCTCAAGCGTTACACATAACTATAAAACAATGAATTGCATTGCAATTTCTATTGCAAAAATAGAATATCTAACTCTTACAGGTCTTATTGGAAGGTGACTTGCTAGTCAGTTCAAATCTTTTTCAGTTCTTTTCCGTTGTCTAAGAGAAAAGCTTAAAATCAATAGTGCTAAACAGAGGGTTTGCACTCTACAGATAGACTGCATTAAATACAGAAAGTCAAGTTTCAGCACAGAGGGCAGGAAAGCAGTGAAATCTCAGATCAAAAGGAATGGAAACTATCACTGCTATGTACAATTTTCCATATAAAATGCTCAGGACGGATAAGCATACCTCTGTGTTACTGGGAAAATCTGCTACTATCAAAGTACCACAGAGGGCAAAAGTCGCTGAGTGCCACACTTGACTCACAGGATAGCAACGGTTTAACTGAAAGGAGAATCTAATTCTGTAAAGGCAAAAACTGAAACACCTTGATCACAGGCAGGGAGAAAACATAAAACAAAGAGACAATGCTGTAAACAATAACTAGCAACCACAGAGGGTTTCTTAACACCATAAAGGGCAAATCTCCCCAAGAATTTATTATTTTCTTGCTTATTCTGTCTAAGATACGTAACAATTTGATGGATGCGACCTACAAATGAACTGCAGTCTATATCATCTTACAGTAATTTCGCCTCAGCTCTCCACACTCGTTTTAAATAGCTCACTCTTCTTTTGGCCCACGTCACCTGGTTCATTAGGGCTGATTACCGTTGTTCAGCATCGAGCTGAACTGCAGCTAAGCAGCTCTTGAAGCAGCTGTAGAAACGGTGGCACTTTAACACCACGGCTTAGCACAGCAACCAGCCGCACAAAATAACTAAATAATGAAGTATGGTATTTCAACAGATAATGTAAATACGCTTTCAGCAAATTGCTTGGGTACAAAGGCCAGCCAACTTGTTTGTTCTGCCTTCAAGAATCTGTAAATCTCAACACGATGTTTAAACACAAGCACATACAAACATCAAAGTTCAATGCTGACATATTTTACACCTCCAAGTTGTATGCCAGGCCAGCTCTATACCACACACACAAAACTGCAGCCCACGTGAAAGAAAGTGACGAAACACCGTCCCAAGCTAGATGCAAGTATTTCTTTAAATATTCTTTCATTCTGTATTTTACTTCTTCTTTATTCTGCGTTCGTTCTTATTGACGTTCACATGGAGGAGTATTTATGCAGCTGTCTAATTTCACACTTCCTCCTTCTTATTGCCCCTAAAGGGGAAGGAGATAGAAATTTAAATCTTAAGCCTTCTTTCAGTTCTTCTTTTGGTATTCCTGATTAATTCACACATCTGGATTCATCCGCACTTCGCAAAACACAGGGGTTCAAGGTGACTGGCAGCCCCCGAGCGAGCTACAGAACGGACACACCAGCTGCCCTGGGCTGCAGGGCAGACGGCCCAGCCGCCCAGCCTCTCTCCCTTTCTCTTTCCTAAAGGAAATAACGCAAACCATGTCACAGCTCGTACTGATGTTGTGGGGTTTTGGTTTGGTTTGTTTTTTTCGTCCTCCCTGGCGTCTCATCCACCCTACCTTTGGCACGGCTCTGGGCTGACAAAAAGCAAAGCAGGACGGAGCCGAAGAAGCACACAACCAGAAAACCGGCAGGGTGAGAGCGTGGACAGGACACGTTTTTGGGAGCGCGGCGCAGAGGCCTCCCGCACGCCCAGCCCCTCGCCTCGGGGAGGGGAGCACGCGTGGAAAGGGCAGCGCGCTGCGCGGCCGGGGCCAGCCGCCCCCCTCGCCCGCCGGCCGCGC